GTCGTCTCGGTTGAAATTGTGTTTGTGTCTGTATATATGGATGGTTTCGTGAACGAATCTTTGTTGATAGCCAGTCGGATTGCAAAGTACCGTCGTCTTAGAGAAATCAATTTGATGTGAGCCAGCCGCATTAAATTAATGATCAGCTACGGCAGAAGTATTGGTTCTGCCGTGTTTCAGATCTGCCTTGTGTTCACGAACATGGTCCGAGACATGTCGTTAGGTTTCCCCAATGTAACTGCTGCCGCAGATACAGCTTAGTTTGTAGATGCCGGGATATTGCATGTCAGGAATCTTTTCCTTCACAGATGGGATCAGGCCACGAATTTTGTGTACTGTGTTAAATCGGACCTGGATCGTGTGTTTGTTCAAGATTTTGGAAATATTTTGGTTACCCCTGCTATGTGAGGTAAGGTGACGGTTTTGATTGGATCTTCAGATGGTTCCTTCCTCACGGTTGGGTTGATGGTTTTTCGGATTGTGTAGGCAGAGTATCCATTCGCTTTGAGAGCCCGGTGTACGTGTTTGAGTTCACTGATCAGGTGTTCACTGATCTCTACCCCACCCCCTCTCTCTCCCCCTGTCTCTCGCGCAGCCCTTCTCCCCGCCCACTCACTCTGGAGCCATTATAAGCAGCTACATCTGGAGGTCGGCCCTCTTTTCTTTCCACCTGAAGAAGACCGCTTGCGTTGCGATCGAAACGCCGTGGGTTTTTTGCTTTTAATTTAGATTGTTTGTTTTCTATCTACGTGACTTTACCGAAAAAACCAAGAATATGTATGAAATTGAATCATACATGAGAGTCATTGGTGAATAAGCATGTGTGATGATGACAGGATAAAGTAACTATGATAACATAAAAAACCATATGGTAACCTAGAACAATAAAACAAATACCTTTCTAAACTCACTGATCATAAACAATGTGGGTTTCAAGAGTAACCAGCGAGCACGAACAAATGACGTCGTGCATGCAGAGCATCCGTTGACATGTTTTCGCATTTGCTTGCAGTTATCAGCCAGTTAAGATACATGTATTTCTCAGAACCATGTTGGGTCAGGTAAAGGGGTACTCTGTTGAAACAAAATTCAACAAGGGGTACAGTAGCCCAAATAGTTGAGAACAAATACGGGAGTGCGTGTGCATCTGTCATCCTCATCTTCCCTCCTCCGTCCTCCTCAGGAACTCACCCTCCTGGTCGCAATACCTCATCCTAACCTTGCCCCAAGCAAGGTTTGGACACTGAACATTATTCCCTCGTCTAATTAGCTGTTTTGATCTTATATTAATCTACGGTGAGTAATTTAAACAAATTATTTTCTGTAATCATCCCTAGGTAAAGCACTGCTCACTGACGATGTCATGATGTATTCAAGGTTCCTGAATTTTAGTCAGATGCACTTTTACTCAGTGAAACGTCGTTGGTTTTAACTGCTACGTAAATGTGTGACCCGCATAATGGACCTTTGTTAAAATAATTCTCATTAAATAAGGAGAAATGGTCCAATAGAGAGTGGTCATTGAAAATAAAAATCGACTTCTGTCTTTGACCCCGATGATGAAGACAAGGGAATTCGGTGTTGTGAAATATTGATGCATTAATTATATTGAAGCACAGGCTGCCGATGTTTTTTTTGCGTGGTCATTCTTTAACCTTGATATAATCTCCTGCACGAGAGCTTTAATCTTTGCCTACCATGCTCTACAATTGTCCAATTTGGCTTGAGTCACAATTACATCCTATTCTGGAGTATCGCAATATGTTCAGGAGCTAAATTCCAATGATGAGATCTGCTGGCCAAGAGAGGGCTTGAGGAGAGAGTTCGTGTAGTTTTGCTATTCCTCTTCCATTCAAGGAGCGCAGACTCCAGTGGTTTAATGTACAGTCCATAGTTAAGGTTGCATGGCCAGACACGCGACTGTGAAGGAGATGTGTGCAGTGGCCTGTTGATGTTTTGATGTAGTTCATGGTCACACCGGTGTCTTCGACGAATGCCAAAGCCAGGAGATACGATGGTTGGGTTCCAAACTAGGTGTTCATTCTGGATGTCCACGTTGTTCCAATCTGTTTGCCAGCCTTGTAATAGATCTGGATGAGATTCTGGGATGGTGACAGCACGATCCCAGAACAATGTTCCTTCCCCCGACTCGGGACTTGAGTTGGCGTTAAGGACATTGTTGAGGTCAAGTTCTTCCTTGTAGCAGTATTGTGTCTGTAGACTCAAAGATGTGGGAAACCACGCACACGTGGGAAGGCAGCCAGAACCGGTGTAAAACAAAATTCTAAGACTTGTGGCCCTGAATTGTGACGTTAGGCCAACTCCGTCAATGAGTCATTATACACGTGGGAGGAAAACATGTGAGGGGGGGGGGGGGGAAGGGGGGCAACACTCTGTCCCCATACAGATGCAAACAGATGGATATTAGTCAACTTGCCAAACTGCAAACTCCTGGCAAGCCAGGATATGGTGATCTCAAAACCTACGGGAAGGGAGTTTCATGAAATGTGTGTGATCCACCAACCATTACCTCCCTGGTGCTGGGTAACAGGGGTGCATAAGCCACTACCACCACCCGCAAACACAGATGTGTTTTTATTGTAGTCAGAAAGGCAGGGAAGGATGTGTCAATAATTACAGAATAGCGTAATTGTGGGTAATTTTCTAATCTGGAAAAGTGGGTTAAAGGCACCGGAGTGATAATGGCATCTTGTTGAATGCAATGTCACGTCGTATAAGATAATAAAATAATTGCATTTATTTATTTTAGAGATGGCTCATTGACAGCACATGAACTAACACTGCTCATCAGTCCTCTGTATTTGTGGCATCCATGGTTACATAGATAAGTATCCTTTATTTAAAACTAGGTTAGAGCCCATTGAAATAATTCAATGGAAGGTAACCGGTCCTGTCCCCCCCCTCCCTTCACCAATGCATACTGAACGACATGGTGAAGTAGGGTAAACAAACCCCCCCCCCCCTCCATGACCGACACAGCATAGGGAGGCCTACATTCAGTAGTGAATTGACACAGCTGAAAATTATTACGAAGCCATTGATAATAGAAGAATTATTGTTAAGGAATGCTTAGAATGAAATGAATGCATTTTAGAATAAAAACAAAACAATTCAGCGTCCATGGAATATTAATGAATTAATCAATGAACGAAATAATTAATTGTTGACAATTATATATTCTACAAATTATATAAATGTAAGGTAATTAGTAATGACAATGTAAATCACGGCGATATAAAATCCTAAAACAATATTTATAAGGTAGAAATAAAAATGTGCTTTTATAATCATAAAATGAAGGAATATTAGAAACGTATTGTATTGTCTAAGTAAGGAATTCAGCGGCCTTTTAAAGGAACGGTTATTAAATGAAAGGCTGATGCAATATTTGTTCCAAATGTGGGGACCATTATAAAAAAAAAATTAAAAACCCATATTCTGTGTTCATTTCAGCAAATGAACAGGAGAAATTAGCGGCATGCCGTATGTTCAACGGGTTAAATTTTTTAGGTTTAGTAAACGGGGTATGAATAGATTTGCATGGCGAGATGCGTGCGTGGAATTACATTTCGAGACAGTGAGAGCAACATGATTTACTACTATAATGAGCCAAGAATGTCAGTGTGTCCCTCGAGTGACGTAACTCCACGTCGGCCAGCCCCCTTCATTAATAATCATGAGCGGGTGACGTCACTCCGCATCGCACAGCCCCCCTCATTAATAATCATGAAGAGGTAACATATTCCAAATGGACACCTCCCCACCATTAATAATAATTAGCGGGTGATGTCACTCCACATAGGGGGGGGGGCGAGGCGCCTCCTCACTTCAAACACGCGTCAGACTTATTGCTCCCACAGGTTAAGGTGTGGCTTATTTTTTGGTACAAGAAAGCTGCGCCTACAGCGTCAACTCACAACCCTCACTACAAAGGGAGAACCCTCACGTCACGTGATCTCCGTAACGCTGTTGAGACATCGAAGTAAAAAGGACGTCATGATGAACAAGAGATTATAACCTTTAAATGAAATAGGTCTGTGTCACCGCGGCCTTACAAATTGCACAATAATTGATGCAATGAATATCACGTCGCAGTCTGCTTTTCGCTTGCAAGTTTCAGATGTACTGCAATACACCCGTCCTTGGACGGGTAAAAGCTAGTGATTAGAGAATGTTCTCCAACTGATGACATCGTAAAAACTGTTAAGAAAAGAAAGCGGGATTCGGCAGGACACATCGCGACCACAGATGAAGGACAATGGTTCAAGAATAATCGTGGAGTGGCAGCCAAGGAGTGGAACGTGTCCAGGAGGACGTGCATCCGGGGGAGATGGAGTGATGAAATCAGCTCGTGTGCAGGTGCTGGGTGGATTGTCACATCCACTCATGCTGCAAACCTATTGCAGGCACCTAAGCAGACATTATTTTTGAGCGTGTCACATGACAACGAACATTGTAAATGGACGCGCTACACGAATTAATATCAGAGTTTTTGTGAAATCATTAAGCGAATAGACCAGGGGTTGGCAAATGCGGCTCTGGAGTCGCATGCGTTTCTTTTAAGGACCGCTTCGTGGTATTATTTATTAAGGACCGTCTTGTATGCACGTGCATCGCGGCTCTTGAAATATTGAGCGTTTTACCGAAGTGTAAAAAAAAAGGTTCTTCTAGTTATTTTGGTTTGCCGACCCCTGTAATAGACTTTATACAATTAAAGTAATTTTTGCAGTCTCATTAGTATTATGAGCATGTTATAGTTATTAGGATCTGTATTGAATCTAACATAGTATTTTCCACATCCATATCTGTTTTAATGCATATGGGGCCCATTGAGCTTACTGAGGCCCGAAGATGTTCCAATGCCTCGCTCCGGCCACTGATCATAACAGAGGATCGCGAGAGATGGCAGTGTCTCGCGGAGGACCTTCATCCACCGGCTCATGATACTGATGATGTTGAAGTTAGGTACGCTTGGTTACCTGTGCCCCATCTCATGAGCCACGGTGAAGGCCAGAGGGAGACCTGTGTCCTCGTTGATGTTGCAGCTGCGGTGTGGCTGGCACATGCCCGACACGTGGGACAGTCCCAGGGTCTCGCACGGCCGATTCATCCCAACGCACAGGTCCTTTCTACAGCAGCAGCAGCAGCAGCGTTCATTCGTTCATCGTTAGTTGTTCATTGGTTTCCCACCGCACAGAGCAAAAACCACATGGAACAACACCCATTTCTTGTGAGAGTCAAGGATGTAAAAATAAATTATTGTCATCTCAACTATGCTCTACAAATGCACGTGTCTGCAGGTTAAATCGATATAATTGGGACCGTTACTTAAAAAAAAAACAATATACCAGGCATGTGGCCGTTATGATTTTTGACACAAAAGGGTAAAAACTTTTTTGTCTTTCACTTCATCAAGCTGTGCGCCCATTGTGCTGTAGCAAATCAATGTAGTCATGTAATTTGTCTTAGCTTGTGTGAAAAAAAGAACATTATCCAAAAAGAATAAATGCTGAACTGCACTATTACCAAAAGTTCCCAGAAATAAAAGTAAAACTAAATAAAGAGTTTAATCCCATTGGGTTTTTTTTTTTGCCTAATGTCAAGCGCCGAGAGGTGATGCGGAGCATGCGTGTTGAATACCGAGTCACAAGCACTGCAATATCGTGCCGAGTTGCGTTGGACTCTTCCTGCCTGGAGTTGAGGCTCTTCTGCCACTTACAGAAGCTGGCCAGAGTCTTGTCAGCATGGTGCACGATCTTTAAACCTTCCTGCGGGAAGGAACATTGTTGCACGCAAAATGTGGTCGCTGGAACATATCACAAAAACACAAGACCGTGCATGAACCGCATTGCCCGGGTTTGCACTGCTTCATCAAAGCTGCTGTTGTGGTGAAAAGCTTGAGATTGCTTGCCCACATTAGTGGGCACTCAATCAAACGTCGCTCGAAAATGTAAAAGCTTACCATTGTTTCTTTGTTTTGAAAATGGGCCATTCCTTAAAAGGTTATGTATTAGCAGATCTCCATTCTGTGTTTTCTCTATGAATAAAAGTGTGTTTTGTCCATCAGCCTATTGATTTACTTTCCAGACCAATGTCAATGAGTGCTTGTTTAAGCCAGCAAATTAGCAGTCAGACCTTAACACATTTTTGCTGGATTATCATATGTTCTTGGCAAGAGTATTCCAGACAAACTATGAGACCCTGTTCAATGCAAAACACAATGTCCTCAAAATGTTGACTTTTTGGTTGACCTTTTCAGAAATAAAGCAGCGTTAGTTAATAAAAGTATTATTTTGCCTGTGCTTCTCTACAGCCATGGCCATGCACTTCCACACATTTGCTTAATTCTTTCCATTAAAATTTTCCCAGTCGTGACTAATCCTTTGTCAGCTTCCATTAAAATAAAATAAATAAAAATTCTCAGCAGTTGCAGAAAAGTGTGCTCAGAGGACGGTGAAATTTTAGTCCTTATTTTAACTTACTTGGTCTTCTTCCAAAATGATAAGTCGGACCAGAACAATGTTTATTGGGTTCCCAATGCTCGCATCGTGATATAATCCAGACACCTGCAAGCATGAAACAGCGACAAAAAAGATTAATGATAATAAATTGCCATGCAACGATGAACACACTATTTGATGACACTGCATCAGCAGTGGTGCTCAAGCACAATAAAAAAATAACTCAATCGTCAATATTATTTTTCCCATTTAAGGTTAGAGTGTTAAATGTGTTGAGATTAATGATAAACAATTGGTCATTATACTGGCTTAATGAAGTCAAAATTTACCGAATGTTTTCATCAATACTGGCACAAGCACAATAAACGCAGCTGAGTTAAACAATGAGCCACACATTAACATTTTGTGTATTTTCTCAGATTACTGAAAACTGTCAACATCTATTAATCTACACTGACAGGGCTATAAAAAGGGCAGGTATTCCACACATGTAAATTATTTGCAACAGTAATAATGCAATATACAGTCTATTTGTACATCACTTTTGTACTCGATGGTAATCAGACGCTTCAGTCTTAAGATTACAAACGATGCTTGATCAATGGTTTATCAATGGCCTCATCCTCCTTACCCACTCAGTAACCTTGTTTTCCACCGTACCATGTTTATGATGGAAAAGATGTAATTTTCGATGTTGTCCCTTCCATGGTACTGCACCATCTTGGGATCCACCACCACCAATGTCTCCACCCAGCGCTCCGTGCTTGTGGACCTCTGGGCGATTCTTCGACGAGGCCCGTGCCTCCGCTGCCACCTCTCCCGCTGCCTTTCCACACTCTGCGCGTGCCCTGGGGCATCTGAAATGCACGCGCTCGCCAACCTCTGAATCTACAACCAGATGGGCACGATGATCGCTGAGCCTTTTGCCGACCCCCAGAGCTTCTCGTTCTCAAGCCTTACCCGTCACGCCACACGACGCTCCCTTTGTTGAGGTGGAATTTCCAGGAATCGCCGCGCCTGAAGGTGAAGGGTGCACGAGGGCGTGACGTTTGGAGATGACGTGATGGCCACTTGCTGGGTCACGCTTGTAGACTACGTGTGGTTGTGGAGATCCCTCTGTTCTGACGACACCACGGACTGGTTCTATAAAGTAGTGCTCTCCATGGGAGAAAGAAAGAACCCCAGTCTGGAGAGGGCAAATATTTTAAGATGAGAAAAGTATTTTTTTGGTTTTTTCTTCTTCATTTTCTGTGAGTTGTATGCGAGATAGTGGCATATTTATACAACTTTTACGAATCGGTTAAAGTCGAATATTTCACTTGCGATACATCAAATCATGCGTGAGAATCTATAACTTAGAATTTAGGCAAATTATATAAAATAAGTATGTCAATGTTGCATTTGGCTCATGGAGCAAACAGACCTGTAAAAACAGGACAGAAATAAAGATGGTAGAAGCGAGACCTAAAACAAAGTGATTCTTCAAATGAATCGCGACCCCAAATTTTGACAATACATGGCATCGCTTTTGGTGGTGGAGGCAAGAGTGGATGGGGGGGGGGGGGTTGGCAGGTAGGTAGGTGAAGGGATAAATCATTACATGCCTAATTTCCCACGCAATGTCTTGTTTTACGTTTATCAAGTCAACTTCACATTGGGCCACGCGGTGGCTTTTCATATTTAGGGGTGAAATAAAAACAACAAAACAGGTTGTGTCGAGAAGCATACCAAACTATTACATGTGCTGACAGCAACAGCTCCTCGGACAGCCGCTCCCTCCAGGATGTCTCCAGTGTGGTGGCACGTGTTTCTGGAGCCCTGGCGGTGGGTCTTACCCTGCTGTCGCTCCAGCACGTACCCGGCCGACAACAGGCCACTGTTGAGTGTCACGTTCAAGTGTAGCTGCCTGCCATCGTGCTCGAATACGTAGTGCAATGAGGCGTCCGCTGGCACCTGCCACCGGTCACGTTGATGGAGGGGCTCGTGGTAAAGCAGGTCGTGCGACAAGAAGCGCAATGAACCGTCGACTCGCGAGGGGTACACCACTTGGAAGTCTTGTAGACTTCTTAAGAAACGTTCTGGCAGTATCACGCACAACAATAAGATCGACAACAGCAATGTAGCACACACACACACGAGTGTCAAGCACACACACACGAGTGTGTGTGTGTGCTTGACCTCAGGCACACACACACACACACGAGTGTGTGTGTGTGTGTGCCTGAGGTCAAGAGCCTGTCACCGTGGTTGATATTGCAGCAGACGATGGAAACAAAAAAGGTAACTTATTTGCAGACATAAGTCTTTCTCCCACCTCACAACCACTGAAGTGCCTCTCTCTTGCTTGCTTTTGCTCATTCTCGTGACTTCGTTTGGAATGTACTCACTCAGCAGTCACAACTTGACCTATTTATACACAACGGAACATTTATTTTCTCGCTTCCTACACTGTTATGCAAGTTTCATTTTGTAATCCTTCCAAGTTTTGCTGCTGCGGCTGCCGCAAGAGATATTCAAGACGTCCATTCCTTTAATGGCACCAAACAAGAAAACAAGCACCTCCCCCGGCAACAAACCAAAAATGCGCACGGCAGTCAGCAATGCATTTCAATGAACTCGAACGTATACAATATGTTTTTTTTTTGGTATACAAACACACATTTTAATTGCATAGTTTTTAAGAGAGCACTTTAGCGATGACACACCTTGACGTTGGTCTGGGAATGTAAATTCTCCGAGCGGCGCACACCACGTGCGGAGGCAAAGCAGCAACAGCAGTGGTGGCAGCAGTGGTGGCAGCAGCGGTGGCCGCGCGCGCGCACAGCTGGGCCCCTTGGGCGCGTGGCACCCCCAGCTCTCCTGCATGGCACGCGGCAGCGGCGGAAACTTGCAGGACACCCCCTGACACCGTCAGGCCAACGTGGCAGGGGACTGCCCCTTCGCCCCATGTACGAGGTTCACGCAGGAAAGGACGGCGGAGAGGTGGGTGGGTGGGTGGGGTTAAAGCCGCCTGCAAGAAAACAAAAATCCAATAACGACACAAAAGAAGGGAAGAGTTCCGCGTGTGTCAGTGGCCCTTTCCCATGGCGGGGAGTACAGTTGAGTTGGTGCGAGTGTACACACGCGCCGGTTGTGCTGCTTTAGCAGGAGGGAGGAGGCGTGCTCGCACGAGTGGGGTTGGGGGTGCATGCTAGTTGGGAGGCGAGTTTGAATGTATGTCTAGGGTTCCTCTTGCATTGGGGCCCACAGTGGGATGGATTCATGTTTCAGAGCATATGTGAGCCATTCCCCCCCACCCCTCCTCCTCCAGCCACACTCCCCTTTCGTTCGCCTTCTCTCACCCACCCACTCACCCGCCAAGCCACCCATGACCATTCCAAGTGGAATCCATGTGCTGTAGCAACAGCAGCAACAGTGGTGTGCCATGGCGCAATGAGTTAACTGCGTGGTTCAAGTGCGGAAGTGTATATATGTGTATATATGTGTGCACTTGGTTCTTGCGAGAAGCGCAAAGGTGACTTTCCAAGCATCCCACTGGTTTCCCAAGGGCGAGTCGAGTATGCGAGCAACGCGACAAAAAGTCACTTACGCTTCGCCTCAAAAGCTGCAATCATAGTGAGCGAAGTAAATTTAAGTAATTAAAGAGACAGAAACGCTGAGATGAAGCGAATGCGAGTGGAGCGGTGAATTTGCATTCATGCGCAATATAATATTGATGAAAACCAGATGTAATCAGTGTCTTTAAATCTCTTCGTTGTGCAAAACCATGAATTTCCATTCACAAAAACAACTTTGAGTGCCTCATTTGCCGAGTTCTTTATGCTCTTTTATTTAACTTTATAATTGTCATGAGAGAGAGCATGCCGAATGTGAGGACTTCGTTCGCCATCTCAAAAAATGTGAATAAATTCAGGACATCTTCTTAGTTCTTTCGGTAAAGTCACGTAGACGGGAAATAATAAAATAACAAAAATGAAACATTATAAAATAAAATTATATTTTTTTTATTATTTTGTTATTTCCCCTTCTACGTTACTTTACCGAAAGAACCAAGCATATGAATCCCTGCAGTCACAAAAGCTTTAGATCGAAAAAAATTAAGGACATTTTCCTCTGCCAGGTGAGAGTTATTTTGTTGTGATAACAGGAATAAACATACATAAGTATGCATACATAGATATGAAACGTTATTTATTTATAATTTAGCTAAGAGCTATTTACACGTTTGGGGTTTGGACATAGACTGGCACAAGATAAATTGTCACCAGTCGCGACTAGAAATTGTCTTGGATTTTCGTGATAATGTACGTATTATAAATAGTTGTATTATTAGGTGTTTAGAGCATACTGGAAGGAAGGGGAAACTACGTGTAAATGCAAGGTCACAAGTGATGTTGCATCAATACGCAACTGACAGAGAAATATGAAAAAAAATGTAGAAATGTAATATGAGTGAGATCCGTTCAAGATAGAGATGAGAGAGATTAATTGTATTTTATGTAATGATCTCATAATGCTTATTAGGATTGCACCTTTCTATGATAATTAATTAACTCTATTTTGTCATGAATCCACGGCCTCTTGAATTGCCTGGGTACCCAAGCATTTGGTGGGTTTGCTTTTTCCGAGCACGTCCATTGGTGGAGAAAACAGCGTCGATGTAGGCGATAGCCCTGCTCGATTACAGGCCATTCCTGGGCCTTAGGATGTTCCTGGGTCATTCCTGGGTCAAAAGAGCCTATTTCTGAGTGGGCCACGTATGTATGTTGAACTTCTGTTGCACCGTACGTAGCAAGCCATGTTACAAACTAAACACAAAGAAATTAGTTTTCAATCGAGATTTAAAAGTGCGTAACTCCAGTGGCTCCCTAATATCGGAAGGAAGAGCGTTCCAGGCGGCCGCAGCAGTACATCACGAAACCAAGACACATAGGCTTCCCAGGATACAAGGATCAGGTTGCGTTTCGGGGATTTCACACCGTGTCTTTGCTGATACAGAATACATGTTCTGGAAAAAGAAAAAAAATCAGGTCATGCAATTTGTTTTGAGGAGCAATGAAACTGCCATTATCGGTGCCTCATGCGTTATTCATGTAGGAGCATGGTCAGAATTCCGCTTGTGTCTAGGAGAAACCAAGAAAATTGTAACTCTTGCGAAATGCAATATCCATTCATGACTTTTTCCAGAAGCTTGTGCCTTGAAATATTGTATTTTTTATATCGTTCAAGGAAAAATTATGATTTAAACCTTTTTTCTGGATTTGATGTCCAACCGAAGAGATTGATAAAGAACAGGCACTGTGTTGCATCTTTGGTCTCTCAGTCAGCACTGAGCGCATCTCAGCCGTGCATGTGCACCACTGCAGAGCTTTCGTGTCATTTTAAAGTGCCTCGTCTTTGCACCGAGAGAGCACCCTCTGCTGGGCAGACCATCTGCCATGTTTGCCCGAAATATGTACCTGATCGTAAACACTCAGGGCAGTACACAACTAACTCAAGCGCAGCGACTGAGCTGAGACAATCAAGCTTACTGTGTATGAACACTGGGTTGTATTTTTAATGCACCAAGTCATGGATAATAATGGGTTCTTCTGCTGTTTGCATGACCAGCCACCACTGGACGGTCGTTACTTTTAAACCAATTCATGTACCTGAATACAAACTTCAGTTTGGTCGGATAAAATCAAGCGCTGCCAGGAAGAAACAAAAACTTTTATTTATTTAATTCACAAGTTGGTAGATTTTACTGGTAGGAACGAAGTTGTAAACTGAGTGTACCAGCCTGCAATAGATTAATGTGTCCGTCCCCTTTCAATACTTTAACGAAGTGAAATCTCGTGCTGTTGGGTGTAAAATCAGCAATAGACAGCGCAGAGACGTGATATGTCTTATTGCACCCAACATTTGGAAGTAACAATGTCATAAAATTGCGCAAAATTCCAATGTTCCTACCAGCCCACCCTGCAGGGACCTGCTTTGTAGCGGTTTTGCGGTATAGCTCTGCGATGGCTTGTCAGGTTGTACCATGAACAGGCAGGTTGGTGGGTACACCAAACCGGGTTGTACCGCCTGTTCTTCACGGTTCAACTCCCGACAACCCATTTTCACCTCGGGGGGGGGGGGGGGGCAAATTTGATTAATTTCAAGGCACTGCTGCCACTCTGTGGAACATGAAAACTTCTCAAACATTTGCGTTCAAAGCAGTCGACGATGCTTTAATCACTGCAATGAATGTGCCAGGCGAGTATTATGTGCCAAACGTCCACAAAGTTACTAAAATGGATGGCGACGTGGCTTGTTGCAGAGGTTCACGGTTCAAACCCGGCAGGCCGCCTGGCGAATTTGTTAAACCATAAAATTCGCGCCATGCTTCACGGTAGCTACTCAAGATCCTGTGACATTATTCAAAGAAGCGGACCATTGCGTATTGGGGTCAGGTTTCAAATGTTTTAAATAATTACTTGAAAATTACTTAATTGGGAACTGCGTAGAAATTGTCATCCGCCACGAAGAAAGCTTAACTTAAAAAAAGCTGAGACTTTTTCTGGGTAAACAAGCATAATAATGGTTATTACGTGAAGTAGGTGTATACAAAATCGGTTGTAATTGCCACTTACTAATAACAGAATATAAGGGGCCGTCCATAAATGTCGTCACGCACGTAGGGGGGGGGGAGGGTTTGAGAAATGTGACGTCACATCAAAATGTGCAACTTTAAATAAATAAAAATAACACGTTCTACTTAATTAAATAGAATTGTTATAACAACACTAATTTTGATTAATTTTCATTATTAACTTTTTGATTATTTATATTTACCAAGGTCACCTCTTATTTATTCCACGAAGGAGAATTTTGCTTCTTCATGGGAGAATGGAGAAGCATACATTTTGTATTTTTTTATATTGTTATTAAACATTTTATTTTAATGATTCTACCAGGGCTTTTCATTATGTGGAATGAATATATTATTGTTATAATTGTACTCTCCATTTTGCTTCGTTCTCCTACAAAGTATTTTTTTAAAGTTATAATTACTTTTAATATTTTATAATTATAAGAGAATTTCAATATAATATTCTGAACATCTGCAGTTTTAGTTAGACGTTAAATAATTTCAAGTGCATTTTATGCTAAATTTCAGCTTTCCAACGCCTTTTTCATACGTGTTTTCTCTTACAACATCAGAGTGCAGCGCCACATTAAATACGCACTACCTTGACAATAGTTGAAAGTTATTTGAAGCATGTTTTATTTTCAAAATGGAAATATGGTTTGGGGGGGAGGGGCAGAGCTTTGTGACGTCATATTTGAGGGGGGGGGTCTGACTTTTTGTGATGCCGTTTGACGAGGGGGGGGGGGGTCAAAAATCGGCCAAAATCGCGTGACGTCATTTATGGGCGGCCCATAAGGACCTTTACTTGAGTGGGATCTAAAGAGCCCCTCTAGACGATATTTGGTCGACTCTTCTCTGTTCCAAACATCGTGGGGTGGGAGTACCCACATTTTCCACACCAAACATCCCACCTGCTGATCAACTGCGGAATACCAAACTGTACCGCCCTGGTGAACAGAGGTGGTGGAGGTTTAATAAACATGCACAGTTGTTTCAACTGCCGTGCTGGGAGACTGAACCAGCGACATTTGGATTGCAAGTTCAGTTTGTTAACCTTTACACTTCGGCAGCATCCATATCTTAATGCATTGCAACTAAAACGCAGTCGTTTATGTGAGGTGGCGTTGTGGAATTTCACAGGGTACAAGATGTCGAATTTTGTATACAGTATACGTATTTATAGCATAAACCTAACTGAACTGCAGATTGCGCCTTTTCATCCACTCGATGAACTGAAGACAGATTGCCATCATTGCAAATTCTTTCGGGAAATGCCTTGTAATTACCAATATAGCATCTGGTATTATTGATTTATGTAATAAATCAACACTGCAGACAACGGGCTGAATAGACGGCATTCCTTCCTGGTCTGACCTTGCAATCAAAACATTTAAAGTGGATTTCCACTCCATTGAGCATTAAGCTGGTGCATGTCTCCTGTTCGCAGGCCTGAGCCTCTGGTGGAAACCCGACATTCCAGATGCTGTGGGCGAGGCTATCCACATCCACGCCACTGTTGACTTCCTCACAAAGTCCCTTCCAATTTCGATCCGTGCGCTCTCCCGCTGCGCCACCATCGAATCAGAATCAAAAGGGCAATACAGTATTATCCTAGTTTACGTCGGGCATGCGT